CGGGCAGGTCATACTCGACGGCACGAGCCACAACTTGAACGACTAGGTGACATCAACAACATGGTGGAGCAGGTGAATGAGTTTGGCGACGTGTTGTGCGACTGCAAGAAGGGTTGTCTGCGTGTTCTGGCCGGCGGAGCGGCGACGCTGCGCAGTCTGTGCTGGCGGTGAGCAGCTGGCCGTGGTGACCGCGCGCGCCCACATGCGCCGACAACCTGTGCGGCTTCGACGGCCCCGGGACAGCCCGATGCCGCCCACTATGCGACGCCGACCGCGCACTGTCCGCACGGCCACATGGAGGTGTGCCCGCGCCTTTTGCCCGCACGCCGCTACCTCGCAGCTGGTCTGCAACCACGCCGTCGCCGCCTGTAGCCCGATAACAAAACGGCTGTCTGAAAATGCCGCGTGTTCTTTGTGATGTTGCTACTGTGATGGTTGCTACTGCTGGTCTGAGACTCGATGTTTCCATTCGTCCTTTACATGTTAAGGATTTGATAATGATTAGCTTCAGGGCTGCGGAGTCGGAGTCGGAGTCGGAGTCGGAGTCGGTCGGAGTCGACAGTTGTGACCGGAGTCGGAGTCGGAGTCGGAGTCGATTTTAGAAACCCGAGCCGGAGTCGGAGTCGGAGTCACCGAAAATCTGTCGACTCCGCAGCCCTGCTGGGTCTGCGGAGTCGGAGTCGGGAGTTGGAGTCGGTCGGAGTAGACAATTCTGCCCGGAGTCGGAGTCGGAGCTGGTTTTTGAAAGCCGGAGTCGGAGTCGGAATCGCCGAAAATCCATCGACTCCGCAGCCCTGATTAGCTTAGTCCGAGCTTAGGTCGTTTATATCATTTGTTAATGGCATATTTTGGATCAAAGCAGTACGACACTGCCTCCTGCTTTTGTGATGTATGCTGGCAAGACGCAGGTTCCGGTCGCAGGTCACCCGGTTCCAATGTGGTCTGGCTGGCATGCGATAATGTGATGTTGTTTTGCTCGTCTCTGTGTTCCACACTTGATGATGTTTGTAAATCTAACCCACATTGTATAGTATTTTTGTTTGTTTGCGGCCGATAGCCTTGTAAGTAATAACCGTGGCAATACAGTTTTTCCTGCTATAATTCTCCAATATTCAAGCGTGGGTGGATATCTTTCTGTATTCACGTATTCCCTTCTTCCAGTACAGTTAGAGAATATCAATACAGTATTCATACGGATTATTCAAGCCCTGTATAATTATTTGAGGTGTGCCGAATCCGAAAGGCGACCGATAAAACTACTAGCGGAAAATGTGACATGATGCCATGGGTTTGTGAAAAGTTTAGGTACCACGTAGCATTCAACTTACTGCATTTCTGTTTCAACTCAGTTTAACGTATTTCAACGAACATAACATCAAAAATGGCAGCAAGTACCGGCTTCACCTGTCACGGAGAACGCTCAAAAAATTGAGTGTAGATGCTGGCCGGCACTCAATTTTTTGAGCGCCAGCTGACTGTCGTCTGTCGTGGCGCTCAATTTATTGAGTATCGCGGTCCCGAACGGCAAGTGGCGCTCAAAAAGTTGAGCGTCTTTAGGGCATTTTCTTTCCAAAAACACCGATATGAATTATCACGGCGAGTGTTCGAGAAGAAACCTTGTGCTCTCTCTTGCCATTGATACCTTATTTGGATACGATATTTGCCGTAGTGTGACGCTAACGGCATTGTAAAATACCATCGTTTCGCCTATTCCTTCATAATGGGGCCCGCTCAATTTTTTGAGCGCTCAATTTTTTTAGCTTTTCCCCCTTGTGCGTGGGACTGTTCTGGTGAAGGGCAGGCCAAGGTCCGGTCAAATTAGGTCAAATTTCAAAGTTGACATTTTTGCATAAAATGGGTATCAATTCGATGCAGCTCGTCCCGGGGAGTCAAATGGTGGTCTTTTTTTGGCACTACGTGGTCTAAACTTGCCAAAAACTGAGTTTGAAAATTTGACGCCATAATTTTTTAACAGATTTTTCGCTATAACTTGGCCAAAAAAAGAGGTATCGATCTGAAATTTGGTATCTAGATAGCCGACGGTAGGTCCCATCATATATATTCCGGATTTTTCGAAATTCGAAAAACTTTTGTGATTTGTTGACTACTATATAAAAAATACTTTTTGGGGGTCAAAATCCAAAGAAGTTAAAAATCCGAGATAGCGATTTTCTAGCCTTGTCAATTCAACACTTTTTGGGTGGTGTATTAACCCGCGCCCCGTTGGGCTCTGCCGAGCAACGCGCCCTGTTGGGGGGGGGCATTTTGCCCCCCCCCCCCTAAGATCTTGAGAACCACGCAACCTAGCGACAAGCGGCAAACGGTGTTGGATAGCCCTATCAGGGAACTACCTTGTGACCCAATTTTATTCAACTAGGTCAAACCGATGACGTCACAGGTCAGGTCAAATGTCCAATTTTCGCCGTTTACAGGGATTTCAAGAAATGCGTTGTAAAATCGAGTCAAATGCATTTCATTGAAAATCATCGATGGGGAAATGTTCTTCAAACACATATTTTGCTATTTGAGGTCACTGATACCAGGTCAGGTCACAGAGGTCAGGTCACTGGGGGGTCACAATATGAAAGTGTCGTATGATACATGTTTTATGGTCTATTTTACATGACAAATGCGATTATGTGGGTCAGGCAGCCTTTGGGGCCAGCTTAGGTCACGTTTTGGTCAAGGTCAGGTCAAGGTCAGGTCAAGGTCAGGTCAAGGTCAGGTCAAATTAGGTCAAATTTCAAAGTTGATATTTTTGCATAAAATGGGTATCGAATCGATGCAGCTCGTCACGGGGAGTTCAATGGTGGTCTTTGTTTTGCCGTACGAGGTCTAGAATCGCTAAAAATATTGAGTTCAAAAATTTGACGTCATCATTTTTGAACAGTTTTTTTTCGCTATAACTTGGCCAAAAACGAGATATCGATCTGAAATTTGGTATGTATATAGCAGAGCGCAGGGACTATCACATATATTCCGGTTTTTTCGAAATTCGGGAAATTTTGGATTTTTTTTAGTTTTTCTAACAAAATCAATTTTTTTGATTTTTTGGGGTCAAAAACCCAAAATTTTGAAAACCCGAGATAGCAGTTTTGTAGCGCCGCTTTTTTTCTACGAGGCCATATAAAAAAAAACTTAGAAATTGCTTGATAACTGTAGATTTTGTGAGCATTTCAAGATTGCATGTTTTTTGCTCATTTTTGCTCGAACATGACCTCAGTTTGACCTCACTAACTCCTGACCTAAGGTGACCTAAGGTGACTTGAAATTTGGTGTGAAGGTGTCAAATTGATGCCCGGGAAGGTACTGAAAATTTGGCGGCGCTGCGCGCCGCCGTTTTCTTGCTATTCAGGAAAAACCACAGGGAGGGCCAAAATGCCCCCCCCCCAACGGGGCGAGGGTTAAATATATTGAACATTTTTCTGTATCTTCAAAGCTGTAGGCCTGACAGCTCTTCTCGCGAAACCTTTTTTTTACGTCGTAAATGGCAGAACATGACGTCATTCTGACGTCATTTGTGGCCAACTTATCATAGCCTCTGGAAAATATTTCTTCACAATGTGTTGAATTGATGCCCGGAAGGGTCCTGAAATTTTGGTGGCGATATCTGCAGCTGTTTAGGAGATATCTACGGAAAAAGACAGGGGAGCGTTCCCCCCCCCCCCCTACGGGGCGCGGGTTAATGGTGACGTATATGATCATGTACTGTTCAATCCTTTTTATGGCAAGTAGCATGCTTACCTTGAGATCCATGATGCCAGTCTCAATTATATAATTATTGCTGGTTGATGAATATTAACTTGGCACTGTGCATAGAACATCTTATTCCTAATAAATATTCCTAAAAAGTATTTCCATTCAATGCATGTCGTAACTCGTAACCTTGGGTATAGTTATTACACGTGCACAACAAGCGGGCATGAATAATGGCCCTGTTTGTTCCCTTAGGAAACATGCCATGTCTCCGTATTAGCGTCAATTTATAGGTGCAGTACTGCTGAGTGCAGGGCTATAACACTCAGAGCTATTAACGATGGCATTATGTCAGAAAACACGGGCTGGGACGACGAGTGACGCCGTGTCTTGTAGGGTGGAATTCTGCCGGGTGTCCTCCGAAAATCGACACTCGGCTGTGCCCACCCCGAATGAATCATAACCTAGTGATGTTCCGCACGATTGATCGCTGGCCAAAGTCATAAATTGTTCTAGATCGACGCTTCATGGCATGTCGTAGGATGATTTATGACTATGCATTGGTGGCCTTGGCGAGCGGAGCACAACAGATGAGTAGGCAGTAGGCAGTAGGCAGCCGAGTGCACAGGCAAGAGTCAGCTGATCCAGCGCTCAGCCAGTCAGCATGTGGGGGCGTGCAGCCGTTGTACAATTATGTATTAACGTTTATTATAAATTTTGGACGGCACATGACTTGTTCTCGTGATTTATGTACCGTATCAGCTATTGATCGTAGTTAGGTACCTGTCTCATTCCCTTCACTTCAGCTGAGAATGAAATGCAGCAATGTGCTGCAAACCGCCATTTTTACTTTGGTGCTGACCTGTAGCGTAACACCGCTATTAAAATGCCATGATATAACTAGTGTTGTTTGAATATTGCAAAGCAGTTCAGTTATTTGGTGGCGTAGAACATTGTTCCCAAGGGCCATGACGTACCACGCTGTTCCCGGGAAAACGTTCCAACATTGTTCGTTTTGCGCCTCACACTGCGATCTGCTGGTCAATTGGCGCTTACTTATATAACAGCATTCCCTTCATTACGTAACGAGGAGCTCGGCAGTCCCTGGAGCAGGTGATAATACGATAGTTCAGTTAGATGAGACGTGAAAATAATTCGGCATTTCCTGTGCTCATCTGGCCCATTCACAAGAGTAGTGCCGAAAAAGCTGCGCTTGTGTCGAAATGAACGCGGATCGTATTCGTGTGCTGCACTCAACAGCGAGTCCCTAAGCCCCTCTGTTCCTGCCCTTCCCTGTCCGACAGGGGAAGCAGCTGGTCAGCGACCGCCACTCGAATGTGATGATCATCGACCGGAGCCTGGTGCTGCCGAACGTTTCGCGTCACCAGGCCGGCAGCTACACGTGCGGCGCCTCCAACGCCGAGGGGCACAACCAGAGCGAGCCGCTGCTGCTGCAGGTCATGTGTGAGTACCGGGTGCGGTTGGACGGGGCTCTCTCACCTCACCTACCTGTTTGGACCGGGCAGGGTTCCAGTCCCCTCTGATTGACTGTGTGATAGAGCACGGCTTCCCTCCCCTACCATGCTGGGAACAGGGCAGGGCTGTCTTCCTCTCCCCTGTAGGACAGGGCAGGGCTCTTTTTCCCTCCCCTGTGGGGCCAAGTAGGACTCCCTTCCTTCACCTGTCGGGACAGGGCAGTGCTCCCTCGCCGGCCCTCTCCGCTCTACATACTACCGATCTCTGCATATTACCGAGCCAAGTGGACGGGCCGGCAGGTTTCGGGCCGGCTTGGCTTCCCAGCGCAAAGTCAGCGTAAAGGCAGCACTTTTCTCCTCCTTCCCTCTGAAACAACATCTCCCCTTGCTCCTCTCAATTGTACAATGACGTTCGACACAGTCACATCGGCTTGGGAATTGTATGACTAAGGGCTATTGGCTCGGAGCTTATGGCCACTGGTGTAGCAGATCGTTATATGGCTACAGTACATACAAACCAACGCATATACCTGTTATAGTTATCATGGAGCTGCTAGGCGTCTGAGTGCCGATCGAAATGCGGATACTCGTATTCCTGGCCTAAAGAAGTTCTTTCTGACCTGGGCCCGTATTCACGTCGGAATTTTTCGTAAGATTTATCTTACGATCGCTCTTTGTCGTACGATAATTTGCTATTCACGTTGGCATCGCAGACAGTTAAGATTTATCTTACGATCAAAATTTTGGTCGTAGACATTTGTCGTACGATCGATCGTAAGTGCGATTCACGTCGGGACATCTTAAGTCGAATCTTAAGATGATCGTAAGACCTTAATGATGAAGGTATTGGGAAGATACGACTACTCACTGAGCTGTCGTAAGACGTCACCTAAGCTTATGAATTGTATATTTAGGTATTGAAATTGCTATTTATGTTTTTTTTTTTTCTTGCGAGCGAGCGCGAAAGAGTTTTCAATGTAACGGGATAATATCAGTATGAGCGGTACAGCTCGGACCGGCCCGCCCTATAACGCTTTTGAGAAGCTTTTATCTCGGCCACCACTGGGTCGATTGAACCGCGGTCTTTTTTGTTGGGTAGCCCCATTCCTCCTACCTCGTAATTGACTACTCTTGATGCACCTGGCCCTGGGTGATCGCCATGTCATGTGGCTCTTGCGAACTCAAGGGTGTCAGAACCCAAAGTAGTTCTTGCTGAATTTACGTTTTTGAGAGGATTATGTCTGAGTAAGCACAGGATCGATTCACTAGGAAATATGTTTGTAGGGTGTATTCATCCATTCTGCCGAGGACAGGACTTTTCTCGATGCATGTGGGTGACCATGGCTGCACGTGCCACGTGCATAATAAAGAGATGTCATGTTTGTAGCAATTACACTAACTCTGTAATTATCGTGCCCATTGCGCTGAAACTTGGCATGTGGGTAGGCACTCACCGGGCAATGCATTTCCATGTGTCATGTTTGGGGTACTACTGCACGTGCGCACGTGCAGTGGTCGCTCCTAGATCTCGAGAACGGCTGGACCAATTGCGCTAAAAATTGGCACACCGGTAGGGACCGCTTAGTAGCGTGCCGGGCAAAAGTCGTTTGGGACCCGTTTGCACGTGCGCACGTGCAGGGAGGCCGCTTCCATACACAGAGAACGGCGAGGCCGATTGCGCCCAAATTGGGTACACCTTTAGGAACCGCTTAGGAGAGTGCCGAGCAAATGTCATTTGTGACCCTGGTTGCACGTGCGCGCGCGCAGCAGGCCGCTTCCAGATCTCGAGGACGGCTAGGCCGATTGCGCTTAAATTTGGTACACCTTTACTCTTTAGGCATCGCTTAGGAGGGTGCCGAACAAAAGTCAATTGTGACCCAATTGGCACGTGGGCACGCGCAAAATTGCACACGCGCCCAAATTTGGTGCACCGTTGGGGACCGACTAGTGAGGGTGGTTCGTGCTTAAAAGGACCCTCCCACCTTTAAAAAAGTTAATGAATTGGCATAGAAGTAGTGTTGCATGGTACCTAGAGAGTGAGAAAAATCAATATCTACCGTAAAGTGGGGCTATTTGAAACGGATTTTACAGTTTTTGGCCTCTCCCTTTAAGACGGTTCATATTTCTTATAGCATGTAAACTGCAAAAATGTAGTTCTCTGTGAGCTCTTTCATATAGGTGCATTTTGGTTCAGCTAGTAATAATGATTAAGGCTATTTTTTATGTTAAAGCCTGTTTCAAATAGCCCCATAGGGTGGGGCTATTTGAGACAGTTTTAGTTGCAAAGAAATTAGAGAAAATCGGTCACGCTAGAGATAATTTTTTAAACGCCATGCATTTGGAAATTGAATTTTGATCATTTTGGCAAAAATTATTTTTTCAAAGACTGTTATATGACCTTTATATTCAATCTTTTCCTTTTTCGTAGGACACTTCATTTCGGTAGGGTATAAAATTGCATCACTATATGCTAAGGCTATCATAATATGATGTGACCCATAGCTTTCAAAATGACAGGATGATCATCAAGGACTATTTTAAAGTCATCGACAGTAAAATTTTGAAAGTAAGTTTTTGTATATAGCCCCGGTGGCGTGAAAAAAGATATACCGAAAGTCGGTGGGGCTATTTGAGACAGTCTCGCTACCTTATGAAGCACACTGTAATGAATCAAACAAGGCAAAAGGTTTCCGAAAACATTTGAGTGAATGGTCTGCATGATTGTTTGTTCCATTGTACATATCCATGCGAAGAAATAACAGAAAAATGTTAAACGGTTTTGATTTTATGCCAATTTTTCTCGATCGCTGCATGCTGTTTCAATTGGCCGGTTACCCTACCACATCAAGTACTTGGATAGGCTCACCTAACAGTACGTTCATGTGTTAAGTAACATTCAATAGTGTCTTTTGGTCAACCAAGGTAGACATATGTTGATTGTCGACTGAGTCAGTGACTGATGAAGCACATTTTAAGCACATATTCATCAGAATAACTAGTTTGGTCACCAGCTAAAGGGTTATTATGTTACACTACGAACATGTAAATATTGCTTGCTGCTTGAAGTACCTACCATGAACCCACTGCACGTTTATGACCACGATCGATTCACCGGTGATGCTTATGTCGAACGTTCGATGCACTTCAGGTAGATGGCGGTAAGTCTTCTCGGGTGCATCGCATCACCGTTATCATCAGCTATTTGGCATATCCGTTGATGTTTGACCAGGTGGGCATCATCGGGATTCTGAGACAATGGGTTACGCAATCGGCAGTACCGTTAACAATATATAATATTTCATGAAAAATGTGCTTAGCCTATAAGCCAAAAGGTTGTAACGATGGATACAGTGGCGAAGCTATTAAAACTTCAACTTTTTTAAGCTGCAGGTAGGGGTCCTTTTCGAGCAACTTAGATTGTGCGTTTTTCTGTATTTCGTATTTTATTGCAAATTTCTTTCAGAACTTTTCGAAATTTTCAAAAAGGTTATTCAGAGCATTCACTGTTCAATTCCACATTAGCCTAAGCAAAAATGACGAAAAAACATCAAACGGTTTTCATTTTACAGCGATTTTACTCAACCATTACCTTGCTGTCTCAAATAGCCCCACTGTCTCAAATAGCCCCACTTTACGGTACCAAATTTCATTGAAAAATATTAATCGGTTTTTGATATATTAACCTGCGCACCGACGGGTGTCTGCGCCAACTTACAACCGACGGGGGGAGGGCGGATGACCGCCCCCTGAAATCTCGAGAACGAAGCAAGATAGCGACAAGCGGTAAACGGCATGGGATTCGCTCGGACAAGGTCTACAATTTTTACTTTGGTCATTTTCAGGTCAGGTCAAAGATGACGTCACAGGGGTAAAAAAATTCAATATACTAATTGTATACTAGAGATATACTAATTGTCTACCTGATAGTCTTATAACCAACACCATTGAGTTGGAAATGAAAAATTGGCCATAAAACATGTATCACACAACCTTAGTAAAGTTGGGCTCATGTGACCTGACCTGTGACCCTTGGTGACCTGACCTGTGACCTGACCTGGTATTGCCAGTGACCTCTAATAGCAACATATCTACCAGTATAACGCCTTTTGGGGCGACTAACGGAGCGAGCGAGAGGATGGGCCTTGCACGTGCGAAATTGCGAGGGGGTACCTCCAACTGACTTGTGCACGGCACCCTACTAACTGGTCTCTAGCGATGTGCCAAATTTGGGCACAATCGGCCCAGCCGTTCTCGAGATCTGGAAGCGGCACCCTGCACGTGCGCACGTGCAAAATGGGTCCCAACTGACTTGTGCACGGCACCCTACTAACCGGTCCCTAACCGTGTACCAAATTTGAGCGCAATCGGTCCAGCCGTTCCCGAAATCTGGAAACGACCCCTGCACGTGCGCACGTGCAGCAGCACCCCAACTCTGGCACATGTGTATGCAGTGCCTAGTGGGTGCCTACCTACATGCCAACTTTCAGCGCAATCGGCCAAGTAGTTACCGAGATATTGCAACAATTACAAAACTGACACCTCTTCGTTTTGCACGTGGCACGTGCATAAGGGGTCACCCACATGCATCGGGAATAGTCCAATACTTGGTAGAAGGAATGAAGCTACCCTACAAAAATTACCGCGTGTAAATCGGTCAAGTGGTTGCTGAGATATAAGCCTCGCAAAAGCGTGACCACGGCCGGCCGGCCGGCCGCTCATACTCAGAAATTTCCGTTAATCTAAGGAAAGACTACGCTCGCTTCGCTCGCTCCGTAACTAGGCAACTGACGCCCTACCGCTGATTCTCGACAAAATGCGTTTTCCTCGGTGTTATGGCGCATTCCCTAGAAGACCCGTGAATGGTGAAACATTTCATCTTTGACCTGACCTGTGACGTCATCGGTGACCCCGAGGTCAATGAAATTTGGTTTCCTTCGACAAATTTGACAGGCCTTTCGAACGCCGTTTGAATTTTGCGGATCCGTCCAG